TATATCCTGCAGTCATATAACAATAACTGTGAAAAAAACAAAAAATATATTACAATAACAATTTTGTGAAAACTAATTTATTTTCTTAGATCTGTCAAAGTAGTTATTTTTTAAATTATTATTATTATAACATTTAAGTATAACTGTAACATGATATGAGAAAGATTTTGCTTGATTTATGTTATATAAACACTGACTGAACAAAATTAATTTTGCGTCATATTTCGATACTGGACATATAAAACAGAATATATCTGTGTGTGTATATATATATAGAAAGAGAGAGAGAGAGAGAGAGAGAGAGAGAAGATATAATTATGCTTCATATATACCTGGACAAGTTCATAATAATCTGCTATGTAAGCTAAGGGAAACAATTGAGTGATTTGATCTTTGCTAAAACAATTTAAATAATGATAATCTTGACTAGTTTTTTTGCAGAAACTTTTTTTTTTGATTGTTAAGTTTTAGAAATTTTTTTAGATTATCAAATGCACATCTAGCATTACATGTTATAAAATTTCCTGCTGTATATTCCAAATATACATACAGCAATGTTAACTAACGAGCCAAGAAATATAAGCATTTTTAGTAGAGCATTCGAAACGCAGTGACAACAATGCTTTATTAGGAAAAATAGATAATCACGTGTGTTTATAATAAAATACCTTTTCACAATTATCAATAAATTAACTTGTCAATGGGCTAACATCATTGCAAGCACGTTCAGAATATGTATAATGGATTTCTTAACTTTGAGGAATATCACTTTGGGCAATTGTGACATTGTCGAATGACTACTTTAGCTTTTAGAAACATGCAATAAAACTCGTATTCTAAATATTTACCAAACCATGTTTACATTAGAAGGAAAAAAGTTAGTCTTCAAATCTGTGAAGCAAGTTTTCTAAATACATTGAAAGATATTTTTTTACCTATTACTAATCTTATACATTAAGTTAATCATATATATTAACGAGTTCCGCTTACAGTGATATCGGAATCAACGGAATTCATCCCCGCTATCCGATGAGTCTTTTAAAATATTGCAAAAACTCGTTCATAAGCTTGACATCGGCGTCATCATGCCATTCGTCAGTTAAAAAGTCGGGTTCCAAAATTAATAAAAGCGTAATGATGTCTTTGCAAACCAATGCGAATTCTTCACGTAGTTTTGAAAGCATAGATAAATTAGTCATCTTTACTATTCAAATGATAACACAACTACTCCGTTCTTATTATAGACAAGGATTTGAACGGATTGCGTAAAGTATAAACATATGATATATTTTGACCGAGTGTTGAGAAATGAAGGGCGAGGTACAAAGATGGGTAAAATCATCGATGTTTGAAACATCGATGTTTACTCAGTGAGGATGCGTCGTACCACGAGTTTATTGGATTGGCTGTCGAATAAAAAATTTCTAGAGTCCCTAACATTTTCTCCAGATGTAATATCATCCTCAATGAACGAACATCGATGTTTTTTCTAACATCGATAATTTTGCCCATCTTTACCAGATGAGATTATGATCCAAAAGATCAGTATATACTCTCGTCTATAATATTATATTCGTCTCTTATTGTTATATTCCATGATTTGCTTTTGTTCTACTTCTACGGTTAATCTCGAGCTACAATAAGCTTTAAGCCGTAAAGAAATTGACCAATTATAATTGACTTTTCTTCTATAATTCCACTATGATTGGTCAATTTCTTACGGCTGAGAGCTGCTCTACACCTATTGTAGGAAGCTGACGTCAGTAAACTCCCAATCTCAAATAAGCTAACGTAAAAGTAATCACGTGATTTACCTGATACCGGATTCGTGCTTGACCGATTGGTACCTTTCATCCACATACAGAATGGCGTTCAATTTAGCCGCTTTTTCGTACATCGTAGCATTAATCAGCGATGCATTTCTAATATTTTTCGCAATCTTTCACGTACGTGTCACGTGACATGTTCATACGCGCTAATTAACGGTAGAGATTACTGTGTCGATCGGCATTGTTTTCTTGTATAATGTCGTATAACCTCATATTAATGAGTGATATGCAAACACATTGTTATTCTTATCGTGATATGCATTGTCTGTATAATAACATGTTAAAATTTCTAGGTAATTACATTCGACGAATTGAAGACTGGATATAAAAATCCGATCGATCAGTGCAATAATCTAAATCCGGTAAGTGTGTACGCTACGCTCTAATAAAAATTATTATTTATAATTTCTGCACCTCACATTGTCCGGTCATTACATTTCGCCTTTTCAGCTAGTTTTACCAGAGTATATATTGCACATCGTGATCAATATTCTATTTTTGGTTAGTGAACAGTACTTTACATTGTTCATCAACATTCCTCTGATAGCCTATCATGTATGGCGGTATATAAATAGACCTGTGATGACAGAACCAGGATTATATGACCCTACAAGCATAATGAATGCTTACGATTTGTCCATGTACCAAAGAGAAGGATGGGTTAAATTAGCATTTTATCTCATTTCATTTTTTTATTACCTATACGGGTGAGTTTCTTATTGTATGTCAAAATTCAAAGGATCCTTAACTTTTTCACTGTGTTTTATATTTCAGTATGATTAGCTCATTGATCAATTAAGAAGAGTGACTGTTATATCAACGAGGACCTCTCATTGCCTCGGTACAACTGTGTTGTGGCTACTCACGACAACGATATACCAGAAGTACAAGCTGTAACTTAATGTGAACTCAGTATAAGTTTTTTAATACTGAAAATAATAGGGAAAGGATTCTTTACTTATGTATAGGTTAATCTTAATAGGTCTTATGTGCAATCCGGATATTTTTCTGGAGTGCATATATTATACATATATATAAATACGTTTACAACCAAATATAATATATAAAAGTATAAGAATAAAATTTAAGAGTATTTTCCAAGGTAACTTATTATCTGTGCTTTTATCAAGCACACGCCAAACAAGTATATCTGAACAAATGAACGAATAGTGTTTCTTAATTTTTATTAATAGTTTAATATAGATGTTATGATATTATTTATTAATTCAACTGTAATAAAGTAACGTTAAATTAATATTTTATTATTATGTTTTTTACAAGATTCTTTTTATGTAAAAATTCCGGACAAATATATATATATACTTTAATTTTTATATATTTCATGAAAGACGCTATGAATGTTATAATGAAAAAGGTGCAATAAATCTAAAATAGTGTACAAAAATTCTCATATAGTCTGTTTCACAGGAGCATACAGGCTGTTTCTTCTAAAAAAAAAACACAAAATTATTAAAAATTTGATTCGGATCTATTAATAAATTCAATAAACTAAAATGCGTTTACTTAGAAAGTTATCCAATCTCTTTTGTTATCATGTATGGCCTGGTAGCGTCGGGGCATGCTTTCCACGGGATTTTCAGCTATCGTCTCAGGAAAAGATCTCCAGATTTTCCGTATATAACGAACGAATTGTTTTAAATGAAAAACCTTTTATCTCTGAGTTTGACCTTCATGACTGCCCACACGTTTTCGATTCGAGCCGTATTCAGAATCGAGTAATTGTCGTCTAGTAGTATTAAGGCTCATTTCTACACTCTTTTTCGATAAAAGATTTTTCGCTTGCCATAATGAACACCCAGGATTCTTCTCAAATATTTTGATGATAATTTTGTCGTCCTTTTCCGTTAATGAACGTCGGGTGCCACGTTTCGGCAGGTTGTCAACACTTTTTGTTTCGTTGTAACGTTTTCACCCACTTCCTAACGAATCCCTCTGACTTTTTCGGTAGCGGCCGACAGGTGCATATGACATTTTCGGTCCTTTCAGATGTGTGCAAAAAAACATTGCTTCAAAATGACTTGCACACGCAGCACTCATTGTATTTATTTTGCTCTGTTACAGATAAAACAAGTCACATATAACCTCAAAGCATTCTTCCGAACTGTTCTGAAAATCGGATAAACCGAACTTAACATCTGTGCGCCATTTATTAATGAAATGCGGAACCGTACGCTCTTATAGATCAAACTGTACTTTTGAACTTGTAAAGTTATATCTATTTACCGACTTTTATTATTTCTACAATGTAAATAAATTATACATGTGACATTTTCGCATGATTTAAAATCTGTAAAGAAATATTCTATTTTACTTATCGAAACTTTATTACGAAGGAATGATATTTAGTTAAGAGACACGATAGTGTTCGTAGTAAGTGCACGCGTGTCTGAATTGTGTATCTGTAGGTCATGTTGTTTAGCTTCAAAGTTAAAAATACCAAAAATTTACGTTCACACACGTCGTTGTCCAATTTTTAATACTTTTAATTCTGATATGTTCCGCTAGATGGCACTGGCGATGTAATATATTGATAACGAGATATATTGATATATCCTCGACCAATCGATGTGTCGATTTAATCGATCTATCAAAATATCGATGTATCAAAATAAATTAATAGCGCAAAAGATAATTGCTATACATGTAACATTTTCATTATTACAAAATAGTAAATTAAAGTAAATATATGACATATACATCGGCCGGTGCCTGAAGTATTTCTGCTAGACCAATTAGAAAATTTTATATTAAATTAGCCAATCACTTATACGGGCTATTAGAGCCCGCCCTATTTTGTCTCGCTCTAATTTAATTCATCAGTTCAGCAGTGCAGCTAAAGAGAACAGTCCACATATGGATATAGTTTGGACACGCATCAAATAGAGACTCTATCGGCAGTACCGGAAAATGTACGCAGCGAAATAGTTCCGTCTTAAAAATGTATGCAGATGGCGTATCAAATTGCCGTGAAGTAGCGAGTAAAACGCCGGTGTAGCCGTAAATTTCTCTCTGCCCACAGTTTAGAGACGTGTACAGATTATAGTTCCAATAGATGACGCAACTTGTTCTTTTTCTATTAGCAGATAATATTAGCGTTATAATATTTTAAATTATTTTACTTAGTATAAGTAAAATCAAGACTATTTTTAAAGTTTAATAGTACGTTTTGAAGGAATAAATCAATAAATAATTTAAAAGAATAATTAATTTCTTTGTCTAACCTAAAATAAATGATTTTGGTTGTTTTCATTACAGGTAAACGACTATAAATAAAATTGACATTTTGATAAAAAATTCAAAGCATTGAGAATCTTTTACACCGCGATTATTTTAAAGATGCCGACAATTGCAATAAAACGTGATTTGTTGTTCCAATCATTGGGCAAGACATATTGTAAGTATTGTAACTTTCACAAATTGTTACAAATCGCTTAGAAGTAATTCTATTTTAAAAGATATGTTTTATTGAAATAAATATGATTTTCTTTTCCTTTCAGCGGACGAGGAGTTTCAAGACTTGTGTTTCCAGTTTGGTTTAGAATTAGATGAAGTGGTGAATATCTGACCATAGTATCTTTGCAATATATATATATATATATATATATTTGTATTATATTTCATGTCAGTAATTGACTTTTATTTTTATAAATAGACAACAGAGAAGCAGATGATAGCGAAAGAACAAGGTAGTGA